ACCCCCCTCACTGCTCACCTCCGTCACCAGACCCCCCCTCACTGCTCACCTCCGTCACCAGACCCCCCCTCACTGCTCACCTCCGTCATCAGACCCCCCTCACTGCTCACCTCCGTCACCAGACCCCCCCTCACTGCTGACCTCCGTCACCAGACCCCCCCTCACTGCTCACCTCCGTCACCAGACCCCCCCTCACTGCTCACCTCCGTCACCAGACCCCCCCCTCACTGCTCACCTCCGTCATCAGACCCCCCCCTCACTGCTCACCTCCGTCACCAGACCCCCCTCACTGCTCACCTCCGTCACCAGACCCCCCTCACTGCTCACCTCCGTCACCAGACCCCCCCTCACTGCTCACCTCCGTCACCAACCCCCCCTCACTGCTCACCTCCGTCACCAGACCCCCCCTCACTGCTCACCTCCGTCACCAGACCCCCCTCACTGCTCACCTCCGTCACCAGACCCCCCTCACTGCTCACCTCCGTCATCAGACCCCCCCTCACTGCTCACCTCCGTCACCAGACCCCCCCCTCACTGCTCCCCTCCGTCACCAGACCCCCCCTCACTGCTCACCTCCGTCATCAGACCCCCCTCACTGCTCACCTCCGTCACCAGACCCCCCTCACTGCTCACCTCCGTCACCAGACCCCCCCTCACTGCTCACCTCCGTCACCAGACCCCCCCTCACTGCTCACCTCCGTCATCAGACCCCCCCTCACTGCTCACCTCCGTCACCAGACCCCCCTCACTGCTCACCTCCGTCACCAGACCCCCCCTCACTGCTCACCTCCGTCACCAGACCCCCCCTCACTGCTCACCTCCGTCACCAGACCCCCCCTCACTGCTCACCTCCGTCACCAGACCCCCCCTCACTGCTCACCTCCGTCACCAGACCCCCCCTCACTGCTCACCTCCGTCACCAGACCCCCCTCACTGCTCACCTCCGTCACCAGACCCCCCCTCACTGCTCACCTCCGTCACCAGACCCCCCTCACTGCTCACCTCCGTCACCAGACCCCCCCTCACTGCTCACCTCCGTCACCAGACCCCCCCTCACTGCTCACCTCCGTCACCAGACCCCCCCTCACTGCTCACCTCCGTCACCAGACCCCCCCTCACTGCTCACCTCCGTCACCAGACCCCCCTCACTGCTCCCCTCCGTCACCAGACCCCCCCTCACTGCTCACCTCCGTCACCAGACCCCCCCTCACTGCTCACCTCCGTCACCAGACCCCCCCTCACTGCTCACCTCCGTCACCAGACCCCCCTCACTGCTCACCTCCGTCACCAGACCCCCCCTCACTGCTCACCTCCGTCACCAGACCCCCCCTCACTGCTCCCCTCCGTCACCAGACCCCCCCTCACTGCTCACCTCCGTCACCAGACCCCCCCTCACTGCTCCCCTCCGTCACCGCTGCATATAGAGCTGTCACCGACCCCCGGGACCACCTGCTGTTGTTCCGCCCCCGCCCACCGTGATGGACTCCCCCATCACCTCTGTCCCCCGCCCTCCGTGATGGACTCCCCCATCACCTCTGTGGAGTCCTTCCGTTTCCTGGGCACCACCATCACCCAGGACCTCAAGTGGGAGCCGACCATCAGCTCCCTCATCAAGAAGGCCCAGCAGAGGATGTACTTCCTGCGGCAGCTCAGGAAAGCCAAGCTGCAGTTCTACACGGCCATCATCGAGTCCATCCTCACCTCCTCCATCACCTCCTCTATCACCTCCTCATCACCTCCTCCATCACCTCCTCCATCACCTCCTCCATCACCTCCTCCATCACCTTCTCCATCACCTCCTCCATCACCTTCTCCATCACCTTCTCCATCACCTCCTTCATCACCTCCTTCATCACCTCCTCCATCACCTCCTCCATCACCTCCTCCATCACCTCCTTCATCACCTCCTCATCACCTCCTCCAGCACCTCCTCCATCACCTCCTCCATCACCTCCTCATCACCTCCTCCATCACCTTCTCCATCACCTCCTCCATCACCTCCTCATCACCTCCTCCAGCACCTCCTTCATCACCTCCTCCATCACCTTCTCCATCACCTCCTCCATCACCTCCTCATCACCTCCTCCAGCACCTCCTTCATCACCTCCTTCATCACCTCCTTCATCACCTCCTCCAGCACCTCCTTCATCACCTCCTTCATCACCTCCTCCATCACCTCCTCCAGCACCTCCTCCATCACCTCCTCCATCACCTCCTCATCACCTCCTCCATCACCTCCTCCATCACCTCCTCCATCACCTCCTCATTACCTCCTCCATCACCTCCTCCATCACCTCCTCCATCACCTCCTCCATCACCTCCTCATCACCTCCTCATCACCTCCTCATGACCTCCTCCATCACCTCCTCCATCACCGTGTGGTTCGCTGGAGCCACAGTCAGGGACAAACAGAGACTACAGTGCATTGTGGTCTCTGCAGAGGAAGTGATCGGCCGCAGCCTTCCATCGCTGCAGGACCTGTACGTCGCCCGAGCTCGAGGCCGGGCTGGTCGTATCACAGCCGACCCCTCTCACCCTGCACATGGACTATTCCAACCACTCCCCTCTCACCTGCACATGGACTATTCCAACCACTCCCCTCTCACTTGCACATGGACTATTCCAACCACTCCCCTCTCACCTGCACATGGACTATTCCAACCACTCCCCTCTCACCTGCACATGGACTATTCCAACCACTCCCCTCTCACCTGCACATGGACTATTCCAACCACTCCCCTCTCACCTGCACATGGACTATTCCAACCACTCCCCTCTCACCTGCACATGGACTATTCCAACCACTCCCCTCTCACCTGCACATGGACTATTCCAACCACTCCCCTCAGGCAGGAGGCTGCGGTCCATCAGGACTAGAACCTCCCGCCACAAGAACAGTTTCTTCCCCTCTGCTGTTGGACTCTTGAACACTTCTTAACCTGTCCCCCGCCCTTTATAAAGTCACTTTACTGCCCATCATACGTCACTTTACTTCACTGTACTGCTGTCACCTTACATGGTGTGCACCATGTGCACTTGTATATTGTAAATAGTAACTGTAACTCTATTTTAAATTTAAATTTATTCTTTAGAAGTGTTTTTTATTCTTTATTTTTATTATCTCTTTCTGACTGTTGCACTGAGCCAAAGCAATTTCCAAGTCTGTGACTTCTGTTACTTACGTGGCAATAAAAATGATTCTGATTCTGATGTTCCTATTGTGTCTCCTGCTGAGGATTTAGTGCTGCTCTCCCTCTGCTCTTCCTCTGCTCTTCCTCTGCTCTCCCTCTGCTCTTCCTCTGCTCTTCCTCTGCTCTTCCTCTGCTCTTCCTCTGCTCTCTCTCTGCTCTCCCTCTGCTCTTCCTCTGCTCTTCCTCTGCTCTCCCTCTGCTCTCCCTCTGCTCTTCCTCTGCTCTCCCTCTGCTCTTCCTCTGCTCTCCCTCTGCTCTCTCTCTGCTCTCCCTCTGCTCTTCCTCTGCTCTTCTTCTGCTCTCCCTCTGCTCTCCCTCTGCTCTCCCTCTGCTCTTCCTCTGCTCTCCCTCTGCTCTTCCTCTGCTCTTCCTCTGCTCTCTCTCTGCTCTCCCTCTGCTCTTCCTCTGCTCTTCCTCTGCTCTCTCTCTGCTCTCCCTCTGCTCTTCCTCTGCTCTTCCTCTGCTCTTCCTCTGCTCTTCCTCTGCTCTCTCTGCTCTCCCTCTGCTCTTCCTCTGCTCTTCCTCTGCTCTCCCTCTGCTCTCCCTCTGCTCTTCCTCTGCTCTTCTTCCTCACACCAGCAGGGGCCCTTCCCTCTCATGTGTCCTGTCCACATGTCCTCACAGCTGCAGGGGGCCCCTCTCTCTCATGTGTCCTGTCCACATGTCCACAGCTGCAGGGGGCCCCTCTCTCTCATGTGTCCTGTCCACATGTCCACAGCTGTAGGGGCCCCTCTCTCTCATGTGTCCTGACCACTTGTCCTCACAGCTGTAGGGGCCCCTCTCTCTCATGTGTCCTGACCACTTGTCTCCTCACAGCTGCAGGGGCCCCTCTCTCTCATGTGTCCTGACCACTTGTCCTCACAGCTGCAGGGGCCCCTCTCTCTCATGTGTCCTGACCACTTGTCCTCACAGCTGCAGGGGCCCCTCTCTCTCATGTGTCCTGTCCACTTGTCCTCACAGCTGCAGGGGGCCCCTCTCTCTCATGTGTCCTGTCCACTTGTCCTCACAGCTGTAGGGGCCCCTCTCTCTCATGTGTCCTGTCCACTTGTCCTCACAGCTGCAGGGGGCCCCTCTCTCTCATGTGTCCTGTCCACTTGTCCTCACAGCTGTAGGGGCCCCTCTCTCTCATGTGTCCTGTCCACTTGTCCTCACAGCTGCAGGGGCCCCTCTCTCTCATGTGTCCTGTCCACTTGTCCTCACAGCTGCAGGGGCCCCTCTCTCTCATGTGTCCTGACCACTTGTCCTCACAGCTGCAGGGGCCCCTCTCTCTCATGTGTCCTGTCCACTTGTCCTCACAGCTGCAGGGGGCCCCTCTCTCTCATGTGTCCTGTCCACTTGTCCTCACAGCTGTAGGGGCCCCTCTCTCTCATGTGTCCTGTCCACTTGTCCTCACAGCTGCAGGGGGCCCCTCTCTCTCATGTGTCCTGTCCACTTGTCCTCACAGCTGTAGGGGCCCCTCTCTCTCATGTGTCCTGTCCACTTGTCCTCACAGCTGCAGGGGCCCCTCTCTCTCATGTGTCCTGTCCACTTGTCCTCACAGCTGCAGGGGCCCCTCTCTCTCATGTGTCCTGTCCACTTGTCCTCACAGCTGTAGGGGCCCCTCTCTCTCATGTGTCCTGTCCCCCAGATGTCCCCCACAGCAGCAGGGGCCCCTCTCTCTCATGTGTCCTGTCCCCCAGATGTCCCCCACAGCAGCAGGGGCCCCTCTCTCTCATGTGTCCTGTCCCCCAGATGTCCCCCACAGCAGCAGGGGCCCCTCTCTCTCTCTGAGCACCTCTCTTTATCAGACGTGCTGAAGTGGCTGCATGTTTCCCACAGCCTCTGGCCTCGTCCACAGATATGCAGCGGTGCTAACGCCGCCCTGCGCCGCGCATGCTAATTCAGAACGCTGATAGTAAACCACAGCAGTCGTCTCTGAGACAGTTGTGGATTCACCAACAACAAATCAGAAAATCAGACACTTCAGACATAGACTGCAAATGTTAACGGACGTAGTCACGCCGTTCTAACAATGGGCCAAAAATTGAGCTCTCATGGAGTGATTCAAAATGGCCGCGGGGGCTGGAAAATGTGAAAAAAACGCATCTGTGCATGCGTCAGCTGCACGAGCCCCATTCATTTAAACGAGAGACTTCTAAAGTCCACAGCGACTAAACTAGACTGGTCCAGAACACTCAGCCTTGACACACATGTGGAACGGAGCTTTGGGCCAAGAGACAACTTTTGGTCCATCCTGTAAAGACGTTTTCCAAAGGTCACCTAATGCTATATGTTAGCATTGGCTAATTCTTATTCTGGGCCCACCCCCACAGGCCCGGGGTGGTACTGCAGCATGTCAGCGCACGTCATTTTGGCCACTTTTGACCCGGGACCAGCCCCCACTGCCTAAGACACATAAAGACATTGGTCCAAAGGAGTGAGACTGTAGACCCAGGACTGAGACTCTCGACCCAGGACTGAGGCTGTAGACCCAGGACTGAGACTCTCGACCCAGGACTGAGGCTGTAGACCCAGGACTGAGACTCTCGACCCAGGACTGAGGCTGTAGACCCAGGACTGAGACTCTCGACCCAGGACTGAGGCTGTAGACCCAGGACTGAGACTCTCGACCCAGGACTGAGGCTGTAGACCCAGGACTGAGGCTGTAGACCCAGGACTGAGGCTGTAGACCCAGGACTGAGACTCTCGACCCAGGACTGAGGCTGTAGACCCAGGACTGAGACTCTCGACCCAGGACTGAGGCTGTGTACAGTTTATTTATGATCAGCAACAGCTCTCACTAAAACAAACTGGGTCCAATCCCGGGAGCTAAAGGCCAGACAGGGAGCGTCCTGTGAGGGGGAGGGGCCTTATCAGTCCAGTTGGTTTATCGTTCCTTATCACTGCGTTAGTCGCTGCTGAGCTCAGAGTCGTCTCCTCTGGGTTTATTTACTTTCTCTGGACACGTCGGTGAATTAGTTTAGTTTTTCTCTGATCAGAAAGACGTGTTTTACAGAGAGAACATTTACAGAGTGTTTCTGCAACTACAGCCTCAGTCCTGGGTCTACAGCCTCAGTCCTGGGTCTACAGCCTCAGTCCTGGGTCTACAGCCTCAGTCCTGGGTCTACAGCCTCAGTCCTGGGTCTACAGCCTCAGTCCTGGGTCTACAGCCTCAGTCCTGGGTCTACAGTCTCAGTCCTGGGTCTACAGCCTCAGTCCTGGGTCTACAGCCTCAGTCCTGGGTCTACAGCCTCAGTCCTGGGTCTACAGCCTCAGTCCTGGGTCTACAGCCTTAGTCCTGGGTCTACAGTCTCAGTCCTGGGTCTACAGCCTCAGTCCTGGGTCTACAGCCTCAGTCCTGGGTCTACAGCCTCAGTCCTGGGTCTACAGCCTCAGTCCTGGGTCTACAGCCTCAGTCCTGGGTCTACAGCCTCAGTCCTGGGTCTACAGCCGCAGTCCTGGATCTACAGCCTCAGTCCTGGGTCTACAGCCTCAGTCCTGGGTCTACAGCCTCAGTCCTGGGTCTACAGCCTCAGTCCTGGGTCTACAGCCTCAGTCCTGGGTCTACAGCCTCAGTCCTGGGTCTACAGTCTCAGTCCTGGGTCTACAGCCTCAGTCTTGGATCTACAGCCTCAGTCCTGGATCTACAGCCTCAGTCCTGGGTCTACAGCCTCAGTCCTGGGTCTACAGCCTCAGTCCTGGGTCGAGAGTCTCAGTCCTGGGTCTACAGCCTCAGTCCTGGGTCTACAGCCTCAGTCCTGGATCTACAGCCTCAGTCCTGGGTCTACAGCCTCAGTCCTGGGTCTACAGCCTCAGTCCTGGGTCTACAGCCTCAGTCCTGGATCTACAGCCTCAGTCCTGGGTCTACAGCCTCAGTCCTGGGTCTACAGCCTCAGTCCTGGATCTACAGCCTCAGTCCTGGGTCGAGAGTCTCAGTCCTGGGTCTACAGCCTCAGTCCTGGATCTACAGCCTCAGTCCTGGATCTACAGCCTCAGTCCTGGGTCTACAGCCTCAGTCCTGGGTCTACAGCCTCAGTCCTGGATCTACAACCTCAGTCCTGGGTCTACAGCCTCAGTCCTGGGTCTACAGCCTCAGTCCTGGGTCTACAGCCTCAGTCCTGGGTCTACAGCCTCAGTCCTGGGCTAAGGTGCATGCTAACAGCTAGCTGCCTGATGTTTA